CGCGCCCCCGCCCGGCGGCCGCTGCGGGTCCCCGCCCGCCCTGCCAGCCCGTGTGACGGGACCCCTGGTCAGAGCCACCGGGGACAGGCCCTACCCAGCCGGGAAGGCCCGGCAGAGCCCTAAGCTGGACACAGTCCAGGGGGAATTCCCAGCGGGTGACGGGGCTCCCAGAGGGGTTGGTTCCCTCACTGGACCCATGTCACGGCCTGGGAATCCTTTTAGTTCCTTGTCCTCAATGTCCTCTCTCCCGGTTCCACCCGATCTCCCAGCCGCAGCCCCTGGGAGGGGCCTACGCTCCCGCCGTGCACCAGAGGCCCTGAGGCCGAGCGCTCCCAGCTCAGCCCCCCAGACGTTGGTCCCCTGGCACCAAACCCCTGAGGCCGAGACCCCGCCCCTTTGGCTGGCACCCCGCCCCTGTGGCTTAGACCCCGCCCCTTTAGCTCGCACCCCCGCCCTGCGCATTGGTCCCCTGGCCCCCCCCGTGGCGGCTGACGAGCGGTTTGTTCTTTGCAGGGAGCCGGCGTTGCGTGCGGGGAGCGAGCCGGGTCAGGGCCGAGCTGCCCGCCGGCACCATGCTGTCCCCGAGGAAAGGTTTACTGGGCAACCTCAACCACATCCACCTGCAGCACATCTCCCTGGGCCTGCACCTCTCCCGCCGCCCCGAGCTCCAGGAAGGCCCCGTCCCCCTGGCCCCGGGGGAGCCGAGGGGCGAGCCAAGGCCTCCCGGAGCAAGTGGACGCCAACTCCAACACCACCTCCGCGCCCTGCCGGTGCTGCACCGCCCACCCACGGCCGAGCCCCCCGCCGGGGCTCCCGGTGCATTTCCCCTCCCTGCCCGGCGAGGAGGCGGCGGCCTCCCCTTCGGAGCCCTCGTCCTCCTCGGTCAGCAGCTGCTCGGATCTCAGCTTGGACGACACCCCGGTCTCGGTGTACTGCAAGCCCGTCCCCAGCGGAGAGGCCCCGTCCCCCGGGCGCTGCCCCTCGAAGGACGCTCCCTCCCCGACTGGCAAGGGGCAGCCGTCTGCCGGGAGAGATGCGAACCTCAACCTCCAGGGACAAGAGCCGCCGGATCCCTGGGCCCAGGGGAGCCCGGACAGCCTGGGCAGCGGAAGTTTGCTCGGATCCGTGTCTGATGACGCGGACTCTCCCGGCG